AGGAGTGCTGGGAAGAGCGTTTGGGAAGTGATTCTGCCAAACCCCGGTGTAAAGTACGTCGTCTTCGTCTTAAGGCAACTAGTTTTCCAGAATCTTCTATGGATTGATTGATTGCATATTCCTCCATTAGCAATTCTGATTCTGCAGTAGAAAATAAAGCTCCTTAACTTTCCATTTGTGCTATCTAGAAAAAGCCTAACACTGAAGACTTAAGTTGTAAGTGAGCTACAGTGACAGAGAGAAAAATAGCTGAGTCTTCTAGTAGGTGAACTTAAAGCAAGTTACTAATATAAGTTACAGTTTAAACCTGTATTACCCAACCTCTTTGCTGCCCTTAACTCTTAAACTGCACTTAACATGCTTCCTATATACACAGGGTGGTATAGTGGATATGCCAGGCTGCAGCTGTAACAGCACCTCCCAAGACACCACCAGGCTGATCGAGTCTGGGAGTTGTGTTAGACTATAAAGCCTGCAGCTGTAGCTGGACAGGCTGTCAACAGGGGAGTGGGAAGATGAGGCTCACCAGGACTTCAGAAGTGATGCAGGTGTAGCCAGTGAGCCTCCTTCTCTTTGCACCCACAATCAGGCAAATAATTGGATAAAGCAGAGACACAAGCAGTTCAGAGTAACTGCTTTTCTCCTGCTCCCTTCAGAAAGCAATATGGTCAAGGTACACGGGAGCCCTTCATTAGCACTAAACATTAAGCTAGCATAAGGTTTCTCTTTGCGGGTGTACTGAGGAACTTCTAACCTGGGGATTCCTTTGGTGTTACCTTGTTTTCACATTATTCCTCAGAGAATCTAGTTTGATAGACATATGGACACACAGGGAAAACAGTCTCTTTGTTCCATCAAAAGAGGAAAAGCCTCACCAAGTTGTTTGAAGTTCTCCTGTATTCCTCCCCAGGTGTTCTTCTCAATTACAGATTTGACAAGGCCCCAAGGCTGTTTTTTGTACTTGACTTCTGCAGAAACCCTAATGAACAGAACAATGAGAGGAGTGCTCTGCGAGGTGACCAAGCAATAACACATCTCTCAGCAGAATAGGCCTCTATCTCATGTCCGTAACCTGCAATAACAACCAGAACTGCCACGACTTTCTATGTGAACAGCACAGACACCAGTAAAGATAACACACCTGGCTAAAGCCTCAGGAGTTTAGAAATACAGGAAACATTTTAAGTTTCTTTTTCCTTCATACTCAGAGCAGCAGAGAAAATTTGTCTCTACAAAGTGTTCTGACTAATGCAAAACATGTCATAAGCTTCAGATCAGGAAGTCTTTTTTAAAAAAAATTATTCTACATGCGTATATATAAGGGTTTACATAGGCACAGGAATGTCAGTAGGGGGAAGAGAAAAAAAATAATAATTAAAAAAAAAATCAATATTACCACTCTTACACCAAATGCTAAAAAGGATCAAGTTGGTTGATTCAAAAATGGTGGTTTTTGTCTTCAAGGACACCAATATAGCCCTCAGAGAGGAAGAATGAATTGCCCAAGGCCCTTTCTTCCCCTTCACCCTCCCCCCTTCAGGTACAGTGCATCTCATGCTATGATATAGCTCCCCAGTTGGTTGGCTCCCCAGTACAAGGACATTGAGCTTCTAGAGAGGGTCCAGCAAAGAGCCACAAAGATGATTAAGGGACTGGAGTATTTGCCATATGAGAAAAGACTGTGCGAGCTGGGCCTGTTTAGTCTGGAGAAGAGAAGGCTGAGAGGAGATTTGATCAACATGTTCAAATAACTGAGGGGTGATTGTAGGGAGGATGGGGCCAGGCTCTTCTCCGTGGTGGCCAGTGACAGGACGAGGGGTAATGGGTGTAAGTTGAAACATAGGAAGTTCCACCTCCATGTGAGGAAGAACTTCCTTACTGGGAGGGTGACAGCCCTGGAACAGGCTGCCCAGAGAGGTTGTAGAGTCTCCTTCTCTGGAGATTTTCCAAACCTGCCTGGATGCCACCTTGTGCCACATGCTCTAGGTGTCCCTGCTTGTGCAGAGGGGCTCAACTAGATGATCTCTAGAGGTCCCTTCCAGCCTTAAGCATTTTGTGATTTTATGAGAAAGCTGAATATGAGCCTGAATAACACCCAGGCTTGCCTACCTTTATGGGTGATCAAGGCTTGTGAGATAAAGGGTCTTACTAAATGACACACAGAAAGCTACTAAAAATAATCAGATGCTCTGAAATGAGACAGGTCTGAACGTCTGACAAATACTGTAAACATGGAATTTGATCACACATGGCATTTTGGTTTTGACAAATGGGAAAGGAAAGAGAAGCATCTTTTAAGACTTTCTCATCTACTGAGAATCTAAGGATGAAGGCCAGTTCTCAAATGCTCTCATTAGAAAGATACGGATGCTCCACTTCCCCCTCAGCTCCCTGTGGAAACTTCCCTTCTGCAGGCTCTTAGCAATGTTACTTCAGAAACCATGTATCAAAATACCTTAACTGGTTCTAACACACAATTGCACTCTAAGAACCTCCAGGTTGTTTAGAACCCAGTTCACATTCTTGAAGATGAGTGCTATCACTGCAGGAGCTTGTTTCTCACTGATAATCAGATCCAAGGACAGCAAGTATATGACAGGAGACACCAAGTTTATTTTTTCAGAAGACATCTCCCATCTTAAAAGACATTGACCTACTCTACAGTCACTGGCATAGCTTTTCATAAGCAGGTCTTTTTGTTTCAGTGACCTATCAACACACACGCCTTGGCCTCTGCCCTCCCACTGCATACGGCCCTGGCTCACCGTAGCCGACACTTGTGACTGGATGTGCGGCTGATGTAGTATCGGTTCACAGTGTAGAAATAGTCATGGTAGGGGACATCATGGGTCAGCACCTCTGCATCCACTTGGTAAGACTCACCTTTCTGGCTCTGTTTATGCAGGATCTACCCATAAAATAAAATAGAAAAAAAATACTAATGATGTTCAATTTCTCCTTTTTTCAGCATGAATTTCTTAGAGTAGAACAACCATCTCCAAGTGAGCTGGAGTAGGTAAAACACCTGAACAAGGATCATAAAAACTGTGAAAAAAGACAAGCACAGGTTGGTGGCATACTCCACTACAGCCAATATAGGCAGATGTGGTACTAATCTTTTTCCCTGTTATCATTTGAAGTGCAACATACAAGTCAAGCCACTGCCTCATTAGCACCACTCTACTTTCCACTTCAGATAGCAGACCTTGCCCAAGGCACTCCATTTTGTGTTCCCCCCCTACTTTTCCCCTGTTCTTACCCTCAATTCATCCAATAGAAGACTAACACTGCTTCCCATATAGTTTGTGGGAGAAAGGTACAGCCCTCTTAAAGGTTTGATGGGACACACACACATTACCTGCTTTTCAGTTGCAGTTGTGAACTTCCCACAGAGTGGATTGTTAATTGTTATAGTGTAGGTCAAAGTCCTCAGCTGGTTACCACTGGTATCTCTATTCCACGGAGTTGATACAGCATCTAGATGACAGGTTATGCACGCTAAACCACATGCGGAAATGCATCGTGTGCTAAATTACCTAAGGGCACTATTTCCACCCTTTCATATCAAAGGCAACCACAACCAGCTTAAGAACAGCAACAGGGGCAGGGTCAGCTGACTCCAGGTCGTTGCGATCTTGCAGAAGTAAAATCTGCAGTTCACTGAACAAACAAAATTGAGAAATATGCTAGCCAAAGCTGGTGCTACTGAAAGAAACCTGGGGAGGAGGGGTAAAAAGTAAATGAAAATATGCCATTTCCCATCTGCTTAGGAAGCTGGGGATTCACTTAGCAATCCCAAAATGCTTTTGCCACTCTGCCTTCAAAGCAGACACTGAATAAATAATAATTTTCTGTTCTTATTAAAAGGTAAATCCCTTAATCTCAATGAATAAAATTTACTCATCCAAAAAAATTAAAGTCTGTGAGCATCATTTAGGAGGATGCAACCATTTCTTCTGTGCCAGCTGTACAGATTCCACTATTTTGGGGACATAATGTGATCAGAAATACCTCACACAAGGCAACAACTTAATAACCTATCCAAAGCTCAAGCATTGTGGTTGCAATGCTGCAGCATGCTCTGAAATTAGGTTCTACTCTAAAATATGACTTATCTATGCAAACAACAGGGCAGCTTTAAAAATTCTTTTATAGCAGAACATTAGAATTGCAAAATTCATCACCTTTAAAGCAAGGAGAAACTAAAGTTCAACTCAACTCTATTTAACATTTCAGGATAATTTATAACACAGACCAAAGGGAGAAGCATGTATTACCTACTATACTCCTGGAATTGAGAAACCTCTGCATGAAGTGCGAATTGGTGAAAAGGATTTCAAACATCTTGTCTGCAGTGATATGGAAAACTCTGTTTATAAAAATTCTCCCATAGAGATCGTTCTCAGAGATGGTCTCCTTCCCTGCTAAGAAAAGGCAGAGAGTTCAGGTTAAGAAAGAGCAGTACTGTGCAAAAACTTCCTAATACTCCAAGCTTTATTAGAGCTAGAGCTCTTCCCAGCTTGCATCAGCTGCCTTCACCCTCCGAAATCTAACAGACCATGAGCTGGTGTCAAAGTTCAGTGGATTGTCTATAAAAGCAAAGCAGAGAACTGATTTTCTAGCCCTCCCCAATTATCTCCCTTTAAAAACATAAGTTGATAAATCAATAACACATAGTTCTGTCATTTTAGTTCTGCCTTCAGTGTTCTACTAATCCTATAAGAATTATTTCAGAAGATGAAAGTTCTTCATTTAATATGTGTCTATTGCACGAAGGACACAGGGCAAAGCAAGCAGGATGAGAGCTTTTTTTTTTTTTGTGGCTCATTTCAGATTATTGATTTAGCTTATATCTATAGTATCCATTTTCCAGGAGACCAGCTGCAGACTCAAACACACCCTTTCCCAAACTGCTACTCCCTCACTATCTATTACAAGCAGAATAAAATGTGCCCTGCTCTGGTTTACAGTACTGAAAAATAGCACCAAGATACTTTTTCAGCCTCCCCTATTTCATGCCACTGACAAGGACTCTGATTGTTTACTGGGCCTGCAACACTGAGTTGGGCTTTTTCTGCCTCTCATGGTTGCTGCTATGACTCAGCTTTATGGTTTTCTCAGTTACTCTTGCAAAAGATAAAGGATAGAATTATAATCCTGAAAGGAAGGCAGCTTCTTGTGCTAGCCCCAAACTCAATCTGCATGTTTTAGTAACTTAAGCTAGACTTATTTCTATCATACACACACAAAACCAAGAACCCCACCACAAAAAAACAATATATTCCTGCAAGCAAATCTCAGAGAGGTTAAGACAGAAGTCAGGCCAGCTAACCTTTCAACTGACAGAAATGAAAGCTCAGAGCTAGCAAAGGTCAACACCAGTCACAGCACAAAGGTAGCTTGAATATCATGCTATAGTTCACAAGCTGCCTAAAGGCTAAAGCTACAGCACTTAAAACATTACCCTTTTGTAGCAGTCAGTATTGATAAATGCAAATGTAGCAACTAAATACCAGACAAAATTCCACAGTGAAACTCAATTCCAGCTCCCAGCAAACTAGTATTCCAGTACTTCTCGCCCCATAAAAGGCTCTATAATATTAAAACATCTGTCTCAAGCCAAAAGAAAACTTTACCTAATCAGGGTTTAACATAGGACTCCAGAACTGAGGATTAAGTGCTCTATTTTTATGCTTGTACAAGAGGCACTTCCTGCATATGCTACATTCTGCTTATGAAACATCTATTCAATTGCAGGGTGGAACAAAAAGGGAGCAGGTATTTTAAGAGGTCTGTTTAGCAACCACTGCTGAGTCGGTATTTGTTAGCATATAGCTTCTGTTGTGTAGAAATAATTGCAGGGAGCCTGAAATCCAGCTTGGGTTTTCAGTCTGTTTACTGTATTTCCTTGCAGTGTTGTGCCTAGTTCCACTAAAACTCAAGCTCTGGGTGAGCTGTAGGTTTGACCTCAGTTAGTCCTCAACATTACAGACCTCTACCAATCTGGAGTGCATTTCACTGTCCTGATCTCCTACTAAGGAGCAAGAAACCTCCGATATTTTGGTGCTGACTACCCTCCAACTACCACACGTGAGCAGATTTACTCAGATCGCCTTCGGCACGGCCAAGGAATCGCCACCACCACTTGAGAAATACAAAGACCCAGGCACTATCAAGTTATTGGGCATCAGATGAGCTCTGAAAGCTCTTTATGTGCTAGCAAATGCAAGATAATACAGACCTCTCTTGCTCCATGAGGCTTAGCTAGATAAGATTTTATATTCACCCATGACATCTAAGGACAGATAGTTTTTGTGCTGATGGATTATAATTTGACAAACCATGGTAATTTATATGCCAAAAGCCCAGGCATTATTTTTAAAGTCCAGACTTTGCTACTGGGAGTATTTTTCTCTACAAGCATAAAAGTCTCTCCTCCTTGCTCTAAGCCTTAGGCTATAGTGAACTCTGATCACTTTGCTCTTAAGAGAGAGCAATCACGGTCTAGAACATCTTTTACTCTGTAGACACAGAGGCTCCTGTTACCCAACTTGCTGCGTACTGACTATTTCTTAGAAACACGACTTAGCAGGCAGTGAGCTGCCAAGTGCTAAGTACCCATTGAGAAGAATGTTCTTACATGCAGTCTGCCAGCCCTTGGTAAATCCATGGTGTTACAACCCCAAACAGTATCCTCCGAAAACACCAGCTGAAGTTTAGGTTGAAGTTTAGGCCTGGAACAAACATTTTACAGATTACCTGCGACTGACTTTGAAATGGCATTTATGAACTAAAGGCATCTACATCTGCAAATCCTAGTCTAACCCCTTAGCTTTAAAGTTATTCTAGTCCTTCAGCAATACACAATAATCAACTACTAGTTCTCACAGCCCAGATACATTTATAGATGAATCCAGAACACCATCTGATGGTAAGGAAACATCAGGTTATTCCAACTAAGGGAGGCTCCCCTAGGGACCATGGTGTAGAAGTGACTGTATCATCCAGCACATCCCCATTTGGCATAGAGAGTTTCATCCCTCATGACAGCCGTGCAATTCATAAGGTCATTTCCATGACTGCAAGGGAAGCTGTAAAATACTGTTTGAATATAATGCCATTATGTGCCAGTGATTGCAGAGGTTTGGAAGCCTCTGCAGTGCTAGATAAGACAGAAAAAAAACAACAGAGCAGGAAGGAGGCAAAAATAAGAGTTATTTCTGTTCTCCAAGCTCCCATTAACCACTAACAGCTTGCAAAGCCAGAAGAAAGCCACAAGTAAATAAAATAACATCTACAAAGAACAGGGGGAAAGCACACTGAGCCAACTGCAGGGACTGTCAATAGATCAGTAAGACTGTTGATTTCCACGGTCCACAGGCTTGTGCAGAAAAAGAGAGAAATAAAGACATCAATCAGGAAGACCCCAAAGTCAAGTCAAAAAAACCTCTCCCGAGAATGAGTGGGTTCTACATACAGGTTGTATCAAGGCTATACCAGCAGGACTAACTTATCAAGGAACTTTTCTATACTTCTAAAGGCTTAGTGTAAACTTGGAAAGAGGCGCTGAGTAAATGTGGTGAAAATACCTGCTTTTCTCAGTTTACAAAAATCACATTTATGCCTCCTGCTTGTAGGCAACACACATTTCTTCTAAACTCCAAAGCAATAGATACTTGACACTTATACATTGACATGTATTTTCAGTAGTTTGCTTGATGTCAACAAGGTAACAGGAATAGTCTTCTTTACATACACCATATAATCAGAATTCCCCATTTTGAAATAACCAGGACTGAACTCATTTCAGCCACTCCATATATTGATTTTGCCCCATATATCTTATCTGCAAGAAAAGACAAACCATCACTACATCCAGCTCATGGTACGACAGATCAAGCAGTTACGCTTTGCTGCAGACTACATATTTAGGGTGAATATTAACACAAATAGTGCAATAAGCCTCTCCAGTGTATTCAATGTGCTCGGAAATTTTCTGTTGTCCCCCATACATAGCAAAGCTTTCTAACAAAAAGCAAGCAAGCAAAACCCCATGTTTTCTATTTCTAAGCTTTCCTCTTTGAGGACATACATACAAAAAGAGTCATTTAAAAAAAAAATCATAATTTGTTGGTTCTCTTTTGGGAATATATATATGCTATACTCAAGTCTAAATTTCAGAAAACAAATCATTTCAAGCTGCAGATACTGCTTTTTCACTGAACCAAAAAATTTTTTGTCATGGCCTAAGGTTTATACTCAGGCTCTAAGAAAGCAAACAAAAGCACCAAAATGCATTCCATGAAGCCAAGGTGGCACAGAGACCCCTCTCCCCAAAAAGGGGGGGGGGAGGGAGGCTGAGAATTGCCTAGCACAAGGGCACTTGTGTTGCCAAGGGCCTGACGTTCCGACTTTCAGTGGCAGGTGGACCTTGACTTTGTGAAATGACTGCCTTGAGTTTGCCCCTCACCTTACTTGCCAGAAGGCCTCTATGGGCAGCCTGAGTATGAGCTAGAGGACACAAGATATTAATCAGCATGGGTAAACATTTGCCATGGAGGAAGGTAGTTTCTTTTGCGTGAAGGAATTCACCTTGTATTAGCTATATTGCAGTTGTGGACAACTGCAATCCGCAATAGAAAACAGACAGAGAAACAAAAGAAAAGAAATTCTAAGCATGAAGAGGGGAATCCAGAGAGATTAATGTGTTGTAGGACTAGAAAATCCTGATCTGAACACAAAAATAACCCACTCGTCTTGATGGGAGGAAGGAGATGAGAAAAGAAGCATGAATCCGGGTCTCCTAAAGACAGGCATCTCCAGTTTAGTATACTCTATTTGTTCAACATCAACACAAAGATGACAGCTAGTCTCTGCCACCATTATTTTGGTACACATCAGCAGCAAAGACTATTTTCAGTTACACTAGAGACTTGTGTTAAAGAGCCAAAGGAGAAAGATCTCTCACAAAGAAGATAGAAAAACCACAAAGGTATCTAAAACACCAGAAGGCTGAAGCTTCCTGCTGCTCTAGAAGATGCACCTGTGATAGAAGAAACAATTTGTGAAGCTCAGGTGTGTAGGAGTACGGCATATACAGCAATCTGTTATAATAAGCAGGCTCACAAATGTTCTCTCTCAAACATGCAATACAAGTGGAATTCAAACTCCAGTGAAAACCAAAGCAATGTGAGTGATCAAAAGGAAAGGTAACAAGCTATGAAGAATATCCTCAGGCAAGGATCATAACTTGCAGGTGTTGAGTCTATAACTTAAGTCTTCCTAGACATGCTAGTTCTCCCAAGCTAATACTTTCTGCAAGGACCTTCAATTGCCAACTCTGAACGAAGCGATGAAGGGCAGTTTCTTGGCCAGATTAAACAACTGGCCTCAACTGACTATATTGCTCTACTCCTCCCAACATGCAAGGAAAGTAAGATCTATCTCTGTACGAGATAAAATCCTCAGCTACATCTGAGCACACTGCTGCTGAGCTCCCCCTTCATTTTGCCACCCTCCCACATGGCTGTAGAGTCAACGCAGGTTGTGTGTACCTTGTACAGAGGGTGTTTACAGAGTTCATCTTGGGGTATTTAGCAGAACCTCCACCATGGCCTGTATCATACATACCAGGACTGCAAACAGCTAAGGCTCTTTGGCACAGAAACAAGGGTAACACTCACCCTCAAGACAGTTGTGCCTGGCATGCACTTTTTGGGGCCACAGAGCAGATACTCACAGAATTCAGCACAATTCTCTCATTTAGTCAAGGGTGACAACCAAGGCTGGACACACTCCAGTCTTACTATTCCTTCAAACAGGATATAAAATCCCATACAACAACAATAAAAAACAAAAACAAAACAAAACAACAACAAAAAAAAACACCACACCACTATGAGACAGATGGCTACACTTTTTTGTTCTAAGGCAAGAAGTAGAAAGGATGCAACACAGTCAAATTATACCAAATTATATTCACTATGTTACTACAGTATCCAAGCTCTGTCTAGTCTTCCACAGTACAGTGAAATGTGAGGATGGTAGAATTGAATCCACAGAGATAGAAAAATCTGTTAGCGTACAAAAGTGTAAACGGCTCTAAAATACCTTTAATATTTTAAGGATTTTCATCTTCAGAGCAGGATTCAGAACATGAACAAATACATTCCTGACAGTTGCCTTGTTTGGACTTCCTCAATTCAACCCATTGATAACACTGAAATCTATATGCCTTAAGAAATTTGAAGCACATAAGATCTCACAGAAGTTTCAGGGCAGCCTGAAATGCTTCCCCTCGTTTCCCAAGGGAAGAGGAGGAAAGGAAGAATTTTGAAATTCTACTGACAGCAAACAAAGTGAAGCGACAGAAAGCTTTCTAACTTGCTCCAGAAGAGAGAATGGTCATGGGAGTCTCATGACTTCCCAGCTGTTAGAAGATTTACCTTCTTCACTGTCTGAGGCACTGCTCTTCTCTGGAAGGTTTTCATTCTCATTCAGATCCAAGGATTTTTCTAAGGATCTGCTCCTGACTAGATTAACAGGTTTTCTTTCTGAAGATGGAAGAGGGCTCTTCTTTATTTGCTTTTCACTCGGGGACTCCTCCACCTGAGATACCCAAGAGAAAGAGGCGTCAATAACTACCAGCCACAAAAAAGAAAGTCAGAAAGTTGCTTTCAGAAGGAGAAAGCCATACAGAGGAAACCACAAGTTTTATCTGTTCACTTATCGCACAGTCAAGCACTAAACCCTCTCTGTTTCCCTACTGCAGACAAGTCCCTCCTCTATTTCAGTCTCTTCTCCTTCCTGCATGAGTGCTAGCCCATTTACCCAACACAGATTCGCTTTTTAACTCCAGGGTAAGGCTTCTGCCAACTTAGCAAAGGGTCCTAAAATCCTGAGAGAAAGCATAATTTTTTTAATCAGCCAAGTTATATATTTGAAAAGTACTCATTTCTTGGGGCTCCGTAGCCTTTGGCCACACAAGAGAAACGAGTATGGGGGCGTGGGGTTTTACAAAGGCGTATGGCCCATCTCAAACATAGAAGCAGGACATCCTCCAAAACAACACCGAATCAAAAGTTTGAAATCAGAATTTTAATACACGTGAACTAAGCTTACCAAAGGAGGCCATTATATACTTCAAGTGGAGGCTACTAAAACCTCACATACAGCATTCATCTTCAATTATCACCCTAGAACCCTGGCTACTAGCTAAGAGCCATGGTCTTTATTCTAAACTTTTTCCTCAAAGCTCCTCAAAGCTTTTGGATCTGTAGTGCAGGCCACCAAATACTGCTATACATGGATCATAATAAATAAGATCAGACCTTCCCCAAAAAATAGTTCTGATTCACCTGCAATACTGTCTTCCCTAAAGTTATTCAGTGTTGACAAAAAACAAAACAAGAACACCCCCCCTTTCCCCCCCTCCAAAAAAGTGCATGAGCTACTTAATCCTGTACTTCTCAGCTTTATTCGAAATAAAGATCATCTCTTTTTATGCAACTGAGGACCATTAACAGAACTAGATGGCTGGGAAAGGGAGACAAGACATGTATTTGACTGCAGTATAAGCAGGCAAAGATATTCCCTCAAGGTCAAAAGAGTATCAGAAAAGCAGATCAATTAACAAACATTCCCACTGAAAGGAACTACCACAGCTGAAGTTATTTGCAGTTCCACCACAGGAACTAGGAGAGAAACCAGTATTTCTATGACAAAATGCTATGCCAAGGAGAATGGAAGTACAAAACAGCCAATTTTGGCAAAACATTTTGCCTGAAAGACAGCACACAAATCCTGGCCACAGTATTTTGGTGAAGATTAGGGATCTGTTGAATAGGCAGAGCTCAGACCAGCACACTGAGAGCAGCCCCACTCTGCCAGGTACAGAGAAGTAAAGTCAGGTTTAAGTCAGAAGACTAGGAAAAATAGCTCCTACAAAAATATCCCTTCAAGGTGTCCTGAAAAAAAGTAATTTCTGCTGAAGTTTGAAGGCTGTGCTGCAACTCTTTCTTCAAAACAACCCCATAGCAGCCAGGCCCTCCATTAAATCAGATCTCCTTTTAAAAAGGGCTCCCAATTTCCTTTACCTCTCAGAGCACAAAGGGAGAGGTAAGCCTGTTTCTGTGGAACCTCTGAAAGGTTGTTAATCCGGTTTTGTGCCATCAACACAAGGCATTCTGATTAAAATAATCTAAGCATTACTGTCCCCTCATACTGACTCTGTGCTTCTAGAAATGCACCAAAATCCTGGGCTTTAGAGCATCTTGACGCCGCTGAAAAATATACAACACCTAGAGCTGGATCTGAACTGTGCCATGTATTTTAGTTACCTGAAACAGTAAACTAGGCAGTTACATGTTTATCAAGACTATGCTTCAGCTACAGGTCTTTTTAAAGGCAGATCAGAGTAGAATGTCGGGATTTTCTTCCACACACACATTGTTCTAGGATTTCCATTTTGCTAACATCAGACTTCTGACAGACCAAGATTGTTTGCTGCATATCTATCTGAACTCATCAGCTCAAACCCCAAAAATCAGTTTTGGCAAGTAAAAATAGCTGGAAGAATTATATGCAAATCAAGGACTATCACAAGCCTCTCCTTTCCTCCCTCCGCCAATTTTCAGACCAGATACAGCAGTTAGGTACCCAACCCCAATTAAGAGATGTCATATTGTTCTTCCCCTCTTGTAGTCCCCACCCTGACATTTCCCTTGGGATATCTGTTAACCAAGAGAAAATACCTGTAACCTTTTTGAAGTACAACTGCACTTAAGAGCCCAACAGCTGTGTTGGGCATCAAACACCTCAGATACTACCACTAAGGCATCTCCTCTAACAAACAGCTCAGCAGACACGCAAATTCACAGAACATTGTGAAAACAACATCCAGAAACATTGGTTATTCGGCAGTAATCTCTCCAAGAGGAGAGTGAAAAACCCATTACACCAATAGAATTTCCCCTCACCAATCCTTTCTAAAACATTTATGAAAGTTCAACTAAAACAAAATTTGCAAACTTGACTAAAAGCTAACCTCCAAAGTCAAGGATGCAAAGCATAAAATCACTTCTAATAAACCTCTTCTATAGGAGAGATGAAAGAAGGATATGAAGAGATATTATTTAAAGACAAATGTCTCTGAGCACTGCAGTGTCAAGAATGAACAAAAGCATTAATTTCATAAAGTACTCACATGAAAATCCATGCAGCCCCTAGCAAGGCTGCTGAAACTTTTTCCCCACCTCCCTTTTCTCTTTTCTTCTTTCCTACATCTGAAAAGGGCAAGGCTAATGCTTCACCATGTCCCAGCCAGGTTATGCAGCAAATTAGTGATGACACACTGATGTTTGGTCATTTCTCAAACTCAAGGTTACAGATTTCTTCATCTCAAAGTCTAAAAGATATCCTTGAAGTCTAGAGACATTCATGTTCAGCTCCTCAAATGAAACCTCCTAGACCACCGTAATTTTTAACAGACTGTGTGAGAGAGTGTGAGCCCCATGTAACTTGATCCTTTTGTACAGATGTACAAGCTATGTTTGCTTATCCGCTACAAGTAGAAAAAAAGGCCATCTTGGCACTTACTCCTGGCACCGTGTGCCCGTTGAGCGGCTCTCCTTCTGTTTGGAGGGTGGGTTCCCGAGCGGGGCTAGTCGCTTTAGGTAGTTTTTCATCCTTTTCTCCAGATTCATCACAAACACTGGATCTGTCCAAAGCAAAAAGGAAGATATCTGACTTTTCAGACAGTATTAAGACCATTGAGTCATTCTTCCCACATCAAGTTCATTAATGCATCAATCTATATTTCTCACCCATTTTCACCTCTCAAAATTTACCTTCTGCCTACAAGGTTAATAAAGCCAAACACTGATGAATCAGATAGAAAGTGAGTGCAAGGGAAAATGCTAGACACAGATAGCCTAGCCCAAATTCTGGAAGAAATTGTTTTAAGAAAGTCTAAGACAAATTTTCTGCATCTTCCATACTACAAAATTGCATAATTGTGTATTTTTATGGTAAATGACTGGAAAATATTAATAGAGCACCTTCTGAAGTTTGCAGTGAGCTTGAAGGAGTTTCTAAGACACCCTCAGATAACAAAAGAGTAAAAAGGAGACAAGCTACAGTGTTCAGCTTTCTAGAGCTACTTATTTACATTTATATTCAAAATTAAAATCTCACTGTTAGAACAAAACTGAAATTTCACAAGCTAGTGTTTATACCAAGAAACTGAAGGAAGTAAAAAAATCCAATTAGATTCTAGCTTCCTAAATCAAACTGAGCACAATACAAAAATAAGCCATCTAAAACAAGCACAACCCCCCAGACTAGACAGACTTTAGGAAAGCAAAGCAAAGAGTTTCAGTCTCCATTTTTTTTGAGCGGATGACAGGGAAGAGAGGAAGCATCTGAATATGACAGAGCCCTGTTACATACTGCCCTCCCACACTGTTAAATGGCAGAGTATTTCCATAAGCTTTATAAGCTCCTCTTACCGAGGCTGCCCGTTGTCCTCGGAGGATGAGTGAAAATTCTCCATCTCCTCAGTATTCAGGCCCAGCTCAGAGCCATAACTCTGGTGCACCAGCTGCCAAAATTCCTGCTTGGTCAGTCTCTATAAGGAAGCAAGCTGGTCAAGAACTGCGATCCAGGACAGTAAGGCAGAGCAGCTAAAATGGTAAGTTGTTTAAATTATGCCACAGCCTTTAACCTCACTTCTGACAAGGACTAAATGCATTTAGCTATCACATTTCGAGATTGGATTTCAGCATTTTGGGGAACTGAACTCCCACCTACTCTGTCCTCAACCCATCACTTTTCCAAGCATTAAAGAAAAACACTAAATACATATAGATATATTTCAAAGAAAAAAATACATTATACTTCTAGCTACCATTAACTTCTTAGTCACCAACATTTTCAGTTACCTTCAAAACAGCTACCTCTTGAATTTCAGGGACTATGGCACAAGGCAAGACCAGTAGCTAGCAGAGAGCAGGGAGACCCTCTCTGGTCTTGGATAAACTGGTTAGTAGATATATGCCCCTGTCTCCTCATGAGGTATAAAGCACTTTACAGGGGGTGACAAGCTAATATCTGTTCCTAGCTGCTGCTGTCTCTAGCAACTCAATCAACTGTCAATCTCTGAGTTGGGATGGGAGGTACTGGATTTGGAAGAGTGTTACTTCCCCTTACTGGGGAGGATCAGCCCAGCTAAGCAGCAGCAGCGCTGACCGCGCACCCAGCCGGCGGCTCTGCTTTGGCTTTGGTCTCCTCCTGCACCACTCTACAAATGCCCACAGCTACTAGGATATATTTAAGTTCTCTCAGATCATCAGGAAAGTTAAGAAAGTGAAAGTATTGCAAATTCATATCTGCAAAGTAAGCAGCAGGCTCCAAAGTCCACTTCTCCAGGTTGCAAAGGGCTCAAAGAAGGGGATTTGACAGAGCTCGGAGAACAAGACTAGTAATCTTTAAAGAAACACACTGCACTGGAAAAAGTGCCTCAGCCACCATCCATATTGATCAAGGGAACAGAACTTTGCTAATAAGACAGTAACACAAGCACCGCTCGCTATTTGCATGAAGCGATCACGTTAGACCCATGCATTATTTAGAGGCCTTTTCCAGTGATCCTCCCCTCCTCCTCGCTCCGCCACTGCTTCGGTGGGACAAACGCAAACCTCACCTGTGCTCACCGTCATCAGCGCTGGAGCCGCGGAGGCCCCGCTCCCACTTCCTGCAACGCCCCGGCAGCCCAGAGCGGGCAGGGCCAGCGCGGTCGTGGGTAGCTGCCCGCAATCGCAGGGAGCAGAAGCTGATGAATTAGCCTCGCTCAGTGCCGTGGGGGCACGTGGAGCTGCCACGTGCGTGGCAGGGGACGGCCACGCCACTTTCCACCTCCATGCTGCGTTGTGGGAACCACAGCCTCCAGTAGCCACAACTAAGCAGCTGCAAGCTGTTTGCATGAAAGAGCTAAGAATCATGTGCCTTTCAGCTAGAAGCTACAGAACCAAAACAAGCCGACTGCCACTGCCTGACTGATATTGCCGCTACCTGTGTGCCAAGTCCTAAGAAAGTAACCATCAGATGGCCAAGGCTACAAATTAAATTCACCCACACTCTGCAGTGGCCTGTGGGCTAAGCAGACTTCCCTTGTACTAGGAGTTCAGTGGCTGGCAGACAGTAGAGGAGTTCTAAGCTATGCATTTTTAGCACCTATAGAGCTGTTTACAGTGTTGTTATAAAGCTCGCGCTATAAAACCAAGTGCAGCTTCAAGAAATTGTGCCATCTCTGAGAAACAGTGCTCAGTTTTTCCAATAAGTCATCGACAGGCGCAGCCAGCATCAAACCAGACTTGCCTTGGTGTACCAGCATAGACAAGACTGGGAGGCAAAGCAGCTTAAAAGTATTGCATGGGTCAGATTTGTATTCATGAGCAGAGAAGCTTGAGAGGTTCTGAAGTCTGAAGACCCTCTCTGAACCAGAATTACATCGCCCTCTCAAGATGACAGCATATGCTGGATTTCTCCCCCTCAGCTGGAACATGTTCTTGTCTTTTGAGCTAGCAGTTAAGACACCAGTATTTTCATTTCATGCTGTTTAGAGTGGTGGCACAGAATAAGCAATACTATACAAAATACTCCTGACAGGCAAGATACACGTAAGTGTGCAATAAATGACCCTTTTTCACTGCCTTGCCACAGAAGCTGACAGGCACAGCAGTTGCTGCTTTTTTACCTTCATTTCAAGAGGCCCCAGTTCATCCAAATTTCTGCCCCCTTTCACACCTCTGCACTTACCTGCTGCGGTGTCTCTGGGGACCAGTGCAAATCTCTACCCACCAAACCACAAGACAACGGGAACATAAATCCAGCTCTAAGGAAGAGGACTCAAGGGAATCGATACTGATCAAGTTAAGATCTTGTTCCATTAGAAAGAAAGAACACTGTATTTGTTTGGGATTTAAATGACTTGCCTAATTAGATTTTAATTAACTCCTTCCCCTTAAACTGGAGGGATATTTGACACCTGTAGACTTCAAGGAAATAACATATAAGAGTCACTGCTGTTATTTTTCATAAAAGCCGTTAGTAAAATTGCTTTACTAGTTTGGAGAGCCTGTTGCAAAACATAAATTTTGGTTGATGAACTACTATATTACTGAAAGCCTGAATAGATGTGGAAGCAGCTATCTGTTATCAGGGCTGGTGTCACGTCTCTTCAGGACCTATGTTAATGACTCCTCATTTTCCATGATGCTTTCCTTTTGAACAGGAGCATTTAAAAACAGTTGCAAATAAACAGTCTAGAAGACTCCATGAAGCACATTTTGCCATAGGAACAAATAAAAAGTGGATTGTGGATTTTTTTTCCCCTCAAGAGAAACAAGTCTTTGAACAAGCATTTAAAAAGAGAAAACCTAAGGAAGACTGTCTTAAGAGAAGGGTATCCACAGATTCCTTGAGGGACCAAAGGAGAAGGGCATCAAATGCAAATGCTGCCCTCTGAACAGGATTTGAAGAAACCAAGAGCTAGAGAACTGCAAGTCAGCTAAAGGCACTAGAGATCCTACCAGGACAATAACTCAAACTTGTTGGAGAGGGATAGATAAGGGTCTTGAGGGTCCAAGTAAGTGAAGAGGGAGTAGTATGTAGCTATTTATTGCTTCTCTTGCAGCGTAAACAGCAAATGACTTTTTAAAAGACAGACCGACCTTACAGATGCCTATTTCTTCAACTGCCTGGAACACATGATATACGTACAAGACAGAATGGCCACAAGATGGAGATCTGAGAAAGGGCATGTTGACTCTACCAAAGATCTGAAGGGGTCTTTGGTGAGAGCTCAGCATTAAAGCAGCCAGGCCACTTTTCAGAGGCATGACCATGTAACACAGAACTCCTGTCCAGGAAGTGTGTTGAAGAGGCCAAAGCCAGTGACTGAAAATGACCCTAGGACTATACGTCAATTTGAAGTACAAACAATCACCAAGCGGCAGGATTTAGATCTGAGGCTTGGTACTATTTACCTCAGGGGGCATAAGTCAGCACTGCTGCAACTGACACTCCTTTTACCAGCAAAGAGTAGAAAGGCAGTGAAAAACTCAATCCAAAACAGCACAGAACTTTATTGCCTCTCTTGTAGACCTATGGATAGGTTTGTACACCTGAATGTTCATATATTCACGCCCAGCACCCCACTCCCAAAATGCATCAAACAAATCAGTAGGATAACTATCATTCCTAACTTTGGCAAAGCATTAGTGCTAGTCACACATGCAAGTGGAAAGATGACAAGTCACTATGTGACGAGATGGTCACAATGTTACCATTAATTTGAGGATAAGAATTTCAAAGGAATGGGACATAAAATTTGTCTTAATTGGTGCTTTCCTCAATTTTCAGCCTGAGTTTTCACAAAAAGAGTGCCTGTAGGCTGCCTTAAAATTCATCTAACCAAAAAAAGTGTGTAGGAACTATATACAAGTTTCGCAACAGCTTTAAGCCTTTGGGGACTATTGTAGTGCAGTTATACAAGGATTACTTCAGCATTCATTTGCAACTGCATTGAAAAATTAAAACAAAAACCATAACCAGGAAGAAATTGGTTTACCAAAAAAAAAAAAAAAAAAAAACCACACCCACCTATTTAGAGTGTTGCTTTGCACCAAAAGTATCATTATGTTTTTGGAAAGAAGATTAGCTTAAGTGCCACGAATGGCAATATAAATCAAGCTAACTAGCAGAAGCTGGCAAAATACAGTTCCATATAGTTGAGCCTGCCTTTGTTGTGTTTATTCAAGGCCAGGAGAGTTGTAATGAGTGGGTTGGAAAAGGTTCAGCTAACTTATTCAAGAAGGTGCCTTTTGCTTATCTGGTCACAAATTAGCCATAAGTAATACAAAACAAATGTATGCTTCATAATGTATGAAGCAAATGTATGCAATTCAGTTATATATGCTTAAGTTGGTACCTAGGAGAAGCATGCAACCTGCTCAGTCATCTTCAATGAAGAAGTGCTCCAACAAGAGCAAAGCTGCAGATGGCAGTGCAAAAAGGGAAAAGTGGAAATAGTTTATCTGGGATTTCAAGTACAAGGAGCTGGAAGAACACCAGGTTAGAATTCCGCATAAGAAGGGAAAACTTTATTTCTTAAACAAAGTCTTTTATCATCCAAAGCTACATCTCCGCACACTAGAAAGATCCTTTTGCTGTTTAACTAGCCATGGGTACCAGCACTTGCAGGCTTACCTTATCCAACAACACATTCTGCCATAAGCGAAAGATGCTGAGGTAGCTTCTGTCTCTTGCACTGAATGATGTGAAGAAAAACTGCAGAAAAAGACAAAAGAAAAAAAACCCCACAAACAGCTCACCTGCAGGAATTTGCTGAAGAAAATCAGAATGCTTCCTTGTATTCCCAATACCATATGGTTATGTCAGCAATGGCTTGCTCCTCTCACTCAAACCTGGGCTCATTTCTAATACTTTCAAAAGCATGACGCACAACTTCTCATAGTTGTTTGAAGCTTACAAGAGATAGTTTGCCAGTATCCACACATTATATAAGGGCATATTTGCTTTTTGGGGCAAACTGCAATCTTTTGTACCTTTAAAACAAGCAAAGGCTTCCCCTCCAACTAAACAACCAGTCTAATCTTTCTCTTAATTCCAAGTGGGAGGTTGAACCAATTGAGAAGATGCATGAGCCTAATTCTTACAAGCCAGAAGCTTTCCCATCCTTCCTCCCTATATTCCTTTTACCAATCTTTTCACATGAAAAGAACTAATCATTAAAATAGGATAACAAATTAAATACCTCACTTGTGGTATTAAAATCTCTTACTCTGAAGTTTGAGCAGAGAAAGAGGGTTATCTTAATAATGGAAGTTAGTAATTGAGAAGAAATATTGGAAGAAACAGCCAATTCTGAAACAGCAGAAACCAGCATGGAACAGCCACAGATTCACCCTGGAAATTGTTGTTCTTATCCAGCCAAGAATAATCATTTTAAAGGTATTATTCTTAATAATTCCTTAAAAAAAAAAATTCATATACAGCCCCAAATAACCTACAGTTCCAACAGAGCTGTGTGTTATGAGTAGATTTCTCTGATTTGAAACTCACAGAATGACAGTTCTTTTGTTCTCAGCAGTTCTTGCTTGCAAGAGGATTTTAAATCCAGTGATAAAAAAAAACAAACCCCGAAAGGAAAGTCACTGAAAACCCCTACAAACCACCCCCCAAATCCACAAACACACATCACACAAATACATTAAAAATTCAGGGTACAAATCCAGTATCAGTGAGACAGGCTCCCCTACTTTGCACCTGAGAATTCTGTAATGAAGCTGTGGCTGAACTGTGAGGCCAATAGGTGCAGAGATCAAACTACCAAGTCTGTCTTCCAGTCCTAACCACACTGAAAGATTTGACATGGAAATAGTTACTTGCAGAAATTAAAAACCACAATAAGAGCTCTATACTGGAAATAACCACTTAAAAGAAAAGTGTTTAAATACAGTTTTTTCACCTTCTCTCCTTTCGTTGCTATCTGTATGGCATTTGGAATGAGCCGAGCGGTCTTTTCCTTTGTCATGAAAGTGATATCCTTCAAGGCAATAGAAATCTAAGAACAGATTTAATAAGGCATTAAAAATAATTGCCACTGTCTGAAATAATTGCCATTGTCAATAATTGTCTGAAAATCTCTAAAGGCATTGAACATGCAAGAGAAACCACAGACTAAACGCAAAGCACTGAGATAAAAATACAGCTGGGGTCACATGGGTAATGGCTTTGTCCAGCTGTTAACAACAAGTACACAAAAGTAGAAGTTACACCCATATTAACACAACTGGATTTATTTCCTCTTTTTTCATAGAAAAATTTCATTACTTTCTATTCACATTAGCACAGCCTGCTGCAGGTGGTCCCAAAACCTGACTCTGCCACTGTAGCTCATCAGCTCAGATACCACTATGCAACTCTGGCAAGCAAGGAGGAGTAAGTTACTAGGATGCATGGCATTTTGGAGACGTGGGGCAGACTTAACAGCTCAAATATACAAGGCTGTGACTTCAAAAGGAGTTTTCCTTTTCCCTCCCTTCCATATGTTAAGTCTACAGTTAACAAGGGGGGGGGGGAGATTTTTCAACCAAATCTTTTATCTCCGATAAAGCTAAGCTTGGCTTTCAGTTAAGTATTTTCACACCTGTGCTGTCCTGAGAATACAGGAGCTACTTGTTGTCTATCCTGTGTACTTCAGATCACACAGAGCAGAACTTGGATTATTTTAAGATACAAGCGCTCTGACGTCTGCAGAACATTTTGCCACTTCTCTATCAATTCCAGGCCATCTAGTCTTTTATTATTCACTGATTTATGTTATTTCTACTGCAAACACAGTAACTGCTTGAAAGAAAAAATTTAACTCACTCCAATTTGACAGGAATAGAGGCCAATGTGTCACAAACATCTAGTTTGTAGCCTCACAAACTAGAGGTCACAGTACAAGCACTTGCATCAAAGATAATTCAGATTCTCCTTAGCTATCCTGAGATGCTGGCATTTATACATGAGACTAAACAAAGGTTTAACATCAAAGTTTTTGAGCAACACTATAGTGCATCATACCCCCAGCCTAACTGAAGGACATCACATGTTAAGCCCCTTCATAGAGAAACCTTTTCTTAGCATGGAGTTGAGGCAAACTGAGAATGAGAATGGAAAAGATCAACTTCAGCACACATGGGGAAAGCATAATTCCTAAACTGCTTCCTATGCCAAATAACCGAGCAGGCTTCTTGTAGCAGGCTTCCTGTAGCACACAAATGCCTTCACTTATGAGGCAATAAATCTGCACTTCTACTTAGGGCCTCTTTCTTCTTTTCAGCTCAAAGTTATCAGCAAGAGATTGACAGGATAAAAGCTCCTCATCCAAATCTTAAAGCCTGATATTCTAGGAAAAAGGCAACATGGGATTCACGTGAGGATTTTAAGAAATCTTACTGTGGTCTCCCATCGGAAAATGTTGCTGTGGAAACAGAGCCAGTTTTCCGAGAGATACAAGCGTCCTTGCAGCAAGATATCCTTCTGGAGCGCACAGGCATAATCTGCATACAGGGAACAAGAACACATTTACTCACTTTTTGCAGCTCAGTAGACCCAAACACATTAATTTAGAATGAGATAGAGGTGTGCAAGTGTTGAACAGGCAAAAAAGCCCATGGATTTTTTTTCATTCTTCCAAAGTCTGCAAGGGCACGTCTGCATTGCGTTGCATACAGATCACTTCTCAGCATACCCTAAAACCAGGGTCAGCAGAAGAGGCTGCTGGAGAACAGTATCCCACAGCCCAACCCCTGTGCTTTACCCTGTGCTTTCAGGGATGTGACAGGCAAGATGAGGAGTACATATGAAAAGCATTCACAAGTTAAACTTCAAAGCAGTAAGTAAACAACATTTTATACTATATCAGATTATACTGTTAACTCCTGCATAAAAGCAGGTCATCACTACAGCAAGCATTTATTTGCCACTAAAAGCGCATCACCAGCTAAATTTATCTACAAAGACAGACACAAAAGGCAGCTCAAAACAATCCAATTCTTCAGGCAGGGGATATTTTCAGAAGTTGGCTCTAAGTTTTGTTATGATATTGCCTCTGGCCAAAATATTCCTACTAGGAAATGATTTCATCTAAAAGGCAATTACTCACTATCAGATACCTACTAACTAAGACAAAAAAAAAAAAAAAAGAGGACTTGACTGTACTTTAAAAGATCTTTGAGAGAACTTAGGTAATTTAGGGCTTGGAGATTCAATTGAAAGGAGTTTCAAAGTACTCAGCACTAAGCCAAGGCTTCAAGAGAAGAAGAAAGAGAAAAAAAATCATGTCAATGCTCCCCTTGGCTATGCTATAAAGTTAAGAAAATGGGCCCCATTTAGAGGCACTAGCATAAGATGGTTACACTCTAGGCATTTGCTGTATAAGGTATCATGAACATCCTAAATGAAAAGATACACCTAAAACTGAAATCAGTGGAAGCCTTTGTTACTTCTGAAAACTGTTTTCCTCCGTTATTATCTGTCATTATAACACTGATTTTGCACATACAAGCTAAAGTTGGAAGAAGTTCAGAAGGCCCCAGTCATCCTGACTTTTTGGTGAATCACTATCTGGAGAAGATTTGATAGGATTAAGAAATCTCTTGGATTTCCCCTCAAATACTCAAGAGAAAATGTTGTTTCTTGCAACAAGCATGAGGCATCCATACAAGCCCTTGAAGATGCAGCTGCAGCAAGCAGAATTGCATAAGCTGAAAGAAACCCAAACCAATAAGCTTATATTCTAAAAAGTTAAGAAAAGTCAGAGAACAAAACAGCTAGGGGCAGGAAGGGTTATATGAAAGAAGTTTGAGGTTAAGGAATTTAAGCAATACCTCAAAAACTTCTATTTGCCTCCAGTGTTTAGCAGTTTTTTCCACAGGCCTAAAGTCATTGCCTAGTATTTACTGACTACCTTGCTTCTGGGAGTTACTTTTGCACTAGTATGTGCAAAAGGAAGAAGGAGTAACAACACAAAAAGGAAGCAGCCATCTTCTCTCACAGCTAGAATATAAGGATTTCCCTTGGAGTGTAGGGCAAGTGATGAGCAACTCAAGTACCTTACCCCGTACACAGAAATGTAGGAACGCACTGGAAGAGAACAGCATTTCTCCTTCCAAGTTTTCAGCTCCAACAACCTAGATGCTGCTTGTAAGCAACATTTTCAGACAAGTTAAATTTAATAGCATTCCTTTAAACTCACATTTTGAGAATCTAAATTATTTAACAAAGGAATTACACTGTGGCAGACAATTGAAAGACTTGTCTTTTAAATAGCTAAGTTAAAAACTGCAGCAGTTACAAATCTGTTTATAAATGCCTGAAAGTAATTGCTTCTTTGAGCTTTGTAAAACCCATGATAAGTTTTTCTGCATCAAGCAATGAAACAGCTCTTCACTGGGTGCACACAACGGTCCTTCCAAGGAATACTACTTTTTGAGGTTAAAAAGTAGTTACATAAAGTAATGACTTTGCTCCTGACAAGAGCAGGTGCTACATTACTGATGGACTAATCACAACAAATCTTTTGTCAAAGGAGCAGGCAGCCTTCTCATTGAAACTATGCTTCACAAAATGTTCCATTGCTTTCTACATGAACTCTGCACAAGGTAAAACTGAACCTTTGAAGTAATATCCTTTTATTCTGTTTTACTTTAGCACTGAATTCAAGTATTTTTAAGAAGAAGAAGACATCTCAAAGGATAAAATAACTGTTTCCTTCTGAGGCTAAAGAAGGATAGAAGAATTTAACTGTAAAAAGCGATTTAACTTTAAATTTAAATACTAACATTTGACTTTAAAGGTAAAAGGAAGGACTCTTTAAGCACTCATAGGACATAAAATGAATGCAAAGCAACAATGCTACATGATGCAACAAAATGGTTGTCCATGCTGAAAAGAGCCTAATACAAATCCAGAACTCGTGGATTTAATTCTCTGCTCTTCTCATACTTGCAGAGCAGATTCCTGCCAGTGCAGGTAATTCTGAGTTTATATGCTCAGCATGCACTCTAAACTGAACCCTTGCAGTGTGGCTTTCTTTCCAGTTTGTGAGTGTCTCACGCCTCTTAGTTGTCTGTTAAGATGGGCTTTGTCACCCACTAAAATGCATAAGAAAAAAGTGACCTTGTAATCTTAACAGACTTGACCGCCCCATCCAGCTGAACTGGAGAATTCTGTGTCCTCTCCTTCAATTCTCAGACCCCAGAATGATCAGGGAAACAGAGTAGGCAGTACAAGAGAGAAGTCCAGGCTTGGTGTTCGCTGATGCTTGTGCAGAGACAGGAAGAATATGGAGGTCTCAGCTATGCCTAGAATTTGCCATTAATCAATAGTAATAAATAAATAGCCAATAAACAACAAGAAATCTACACTCAAGAAAGTCACAACACATTCGATCATTTAGAGACATCAGTAATTTGGTTTGATTATATCTTACCTACTACAAGTCTCTCCGACTCTGGCAGATGAGAGAACTGTCTCTTGAATTCCTCACTCCTGTACTTATAAGTAGAACTTGAGAGCTGAAATGGAGAATTGCAAAAGGTTGAGCAAAAAGACTTATTTTCATCCATCAATTGTCTTTAAACTAGACTTTAAAAAAAAAAAAAAAAAATCTTGATGAAGGTTTATCAGAAGAATGGAAAAAGGATAGGTGGTAAAGAAATACATTTGTAACCAACTTTATGCTTCCCTTTGTAGCATTGTGTTTCCAGTATTTAGGATAGTAGGGCCCAAACTCTTCCCTCAAGCAGGCCAGATGCCCACTAAGAGGCATTACAGGTATATGATGCAAAGGGACAGGCCAGCCTCTTGCAGGGCTAAGCTTCTCTTCCAGCACAGGTTCAATAAAAAGGCAGCACCAGCACAGCACAGAAGGTGCCAGAGTAGACCAAGTTATCATCACACAGTCACCAGCCAGATGCAAGCTAGAACAGCATTTTCAAACTGGAGGAACATTTCAGGAGTCTTACTACCCAGTAGATTTCTTCTCCCTCCCCCAACACTTGCTGTAAGACCAGGAGAAACAGGACAAATCTCTTCCTCTGATCAAAACCAGCACCACCACCATCACCTCTCAGTTTTCTTAGCTGTTCTGTTTCACTCCACATCTAAAGGCATCACTTTCTAGAACTCACTTAAAACTAAAGTTATGTTAAGCTCACAGCAGAGAAATTAAGTCTTGATGGACATTAGATGCTTATTCTTATAAACAAATGTTCCTGCTCCCAATCAAGTGAAATAACAACAAGGTAGCATTTTTGCTTTCTAAAAAGGATCAGCTACCTACACACTGCTTAGTTAGGAATGCCACTAAATGACTCAGCCAGGCCACAACTAAAGCAGAAAAAAAAGTCATCTTCAAGTGTTCCCCAAACCAAGGTTTTGAAAGCTTCCATTTGAGAATGGACTTTTTAAATGACCTTTTTAAAGACTTCAAAAGTATGTGCCTTCTTCTCTCCTTGAGTATCAAGTTTTGGAACAAAAAGGTGCTCATCACATGCATTTTGTAGCATAAGCACAATGGCTATTTAGTGTGGGGCAGAAAAAATAAGGAAGGAGGCAGAAGAACCACTCAAACTTGCTGGTGTTCCAGCATCTTTACTAGAAGAATCAAGTTTGAATTGACTACTGTGATATGCAAGTTGGTCATCATCTCTGTAGGTAGGATGTTTTCAAAACTAGTACAATGCCAGATTCGCCTGTAGCCTGAATTTCTTTTAATAAATTGAATTTCTTTCAACAAGCTAGTCCCAGTAGCGTCATTCCCTCATCAGGGTTCCCACAACTGACTTTGCCACTTTCCACACCAAATGTTCCTGCTTGCCATGGCTCAAGATTTCATAGGTCACATGTGTGGAGAGGAAAGTGTTCAGGGGTCTACCTACCTTTAAGACATGAGCTCTTTAGCTACAAGAGCAAAGAGTACTATTTGGAGATCAGGTATTTAAATATAAATACATGTGAGGACCAAGTCTCCCTGACAAGTTTGTAACTGTTACCTTATTTTACCCTAAATAAGAAAGTTTCCATGCCTGATTGCTGGTGACTTCATGCTTGCTGGCTACCAATATTTTAGGGGTCAAAATCCAAGAGGTGACAGGGAAAACAGAAAAGAATAGGTCTTTCCCTCCCCTTCTGAGGAGAGGGATTGGGTTTTAGGGGCAGCCAATGGGGCAATCTGCTAAGACACATCCTGTTAGCTTGTGCTTCCAGATATATTTCAGCCAATTCCAAGATTATGAAAACTACATTCTTGTAGAACATGTGCTCTATTAAAACAGACTGGCCATGATTTCTCAGTCTTGTCACATTCTACCATGAAACAGACGCTTTCGACTGATCATCTGAAAGAGACACCCAGGGAATGCTTCACTTTAAAGAAAATGAAGGTTTTTAAAATGAGGGGGAGGAAAGAGAAGGAGGGAACAGCAAGCAACCTGATTTAAGTGCCAGACAGGCAATGTGAACTTTCTTTTACTATCTGCAGGTCTGATTTAAGCAGCTACACTTTCAAGGAGAAGCATATCCTTTGTCAGAACAGGCTGCACTTCGGAGATAAGAGCTATACAAAAGTTAAGTATTTTTGTTGTTAAAAAACAAAAGGAATTGGAAAGGGAAGACCAGTTAACACTACATTATTACAGACACATTTATATTAATGCTGACTCCACAAGTTCAGCAGCTCCAAGAATGAAATCTCAAGGGACCTTAAGTTCTACTTAGAACTGGAGTTTCTCTGGAGCAAAAAAAACTGTTTTCTCTAACTTGCCTGAGAATCCCTTGCTGCTCTATAAAAGCACTATGTTAAATAAGTGAAAAACAGACAAGGAGAAACCCTTTACTAACTGTCCACTGAGCTCTTAGGCCCATTCTGAAGAGCCTGCTCTGAATCCTTATCTGATCAACAGGGCAAAAAGATATATATATATTCACACACACACACACATATATATATACATGAGCTTTTCAAGCTCATCTTCTGCTTATTTCATCTGAAAACTAGCTTACTTAGATATTTTATGCACTCAGTATGTGGCTTAATGATTGACTGATTTCTTAATGATTTGGGAAACAACAGAGAATTTCAACACTAGTGACATTATCAACTCCCTTAAAATGAAGAAAAAGAGACGCTTCAATTTCTATGAATACTGTATCTCTCCTATCACCATTACAATATTCAAGCTGTGGCAGACAGGTTGCCACCTTCTGGTTACACACACACACACACACACACACACACACACAAAAAAAAATGACACCCACAAACAACAACCACCACCACCAGATACTGAAAGGAAGACAAATTAGGCTGTGCTGTGGGGAGTTCAGGAGATGAAGACAGCAATTCATTTTGGACACACACATTTCCAAGTTTAATTATACATCATCATGCAAATGCTTTGCCTGAGGACTGTCTCAGCCATTTAGGGATATACTATATTTAATCAAAGAAAACTACTCAGCCCAATCAACAGCATTATTTATCTGAGGCCACAAAATACACCAACAGCCTACAGACAAAACAGCATAAGGAGAAGAGCCCCAGAAAGACCCGATACTGATGTAAGACCTGAACCAGGAGGTGGTGCTGGCTTTTTTAAAAACGTAACTAATTCCACCTAGATGAAGGTTCCAAAAGAAAACACTATTAAGGAGTTATTTGTACAGTGTTGTTCAAAAACAACAGCAACAAAATAGCAGCTTCCTTCCATATTTATATCTCCAAAGCATTCAAAGCAATGATGCCACAGATAATTCTTCTCTCCACCCTTCACTAAACAGCTCAAATTACACTACGTCTTCTCCCAAGAGCACAGCAGAAAAATGCTAATCATTTGAAGAATTATTTGATTGCCCATATAACTAAGCATGCAAATAGTCAATCAACCTCTGCAGAAGTGTGCACGTTTTAAATTTGCTAATCACCATAACAATTTTGAATTGTTTTGTTAGTGTTTCTCTTTCCTTTTAAGGAAAGAGACGCTATGTGACAATTTCCATTCTGTATTTTTGACACACAGGTATGAATACAAACAACTGAGAACAGGTACAATGATATGATCAAAAGCACCATAACTCAACTGTCACTTGATTTAAAGACTGTTGCACATCATAAGCATTCTTGGGGAAAGGAGATAAAAAAAAAAAAAAAAAAAAAAAAAAAAAAAAAAAACCAACAACCTACTTTTAATAAGTCTAAAACCTATGAAGACAGCTAGATTAACAGACTTGACTCCAAGTCTCATTTAGCAAAATAAAGCAAGCAAACTTAAGGCTTCACATTCTTCGAAACAGACTTATCTATAAATGCCAGAGCAACTCCCATGTTACCTGCATTGAGATGGTGAGAGTACCTGTAAAGCAATTCAACTCTGTCAACCTTTTTAATCAGAGAAAAGTTGTTGCAGTTGTTTCTTCAGCCTAGATAAAGAGACTACATCATTGAATAGATTAGTCATAATCAGCTTATTACTTTTTTCCCCCTCTCCATACTGTGAGGAAGCTATCCCATTCCTTCTCCGAGTCAGGATGAAGCTCCTCAAGTGTATTCACAGAAAGATTTTTTTCAGACTGATTCTCATGGCTTTTTGAACCTCCTCCTATTTTTCAGTGTGCTTTCTTGAGCTGAAAGCTTGGCCTTGCACAAGCTGCTGCAGACAATCAGCAGCACAAAGTCCAGTTGGAGATCAGTAGCACCCAGAAACAGGACAAAAGGAAACAGGCACAAATTAAAACAGAGAAAATCCACCTGAACAATCAAGAACACTTTCTCACTGCTGGGGTGGCCAAACCCTGGCACAAGTTCCCCACACAGGTTGTAGATTTTCTGTCCTTGGAGATAGCCAAAACCTGAATGGACACAGACCTTGGCAACCTGCTCTGACTTACCCTTCTTGAGCAAGGAGTTGAATCGAATCATGTCTATGTTGCTAACTTATATAAGTAGAAAAGGTTTTATGATTAGACACAGAACGAAGTGTTCATTTTTGTGAAGTATTTTTAAAATTGGCTTCTTTTCCAAGCAGAAGGGAAGCTCAAAAAGGTTTTAAAAGTTATCCAAAGAATTATTGTCATATCTTTCACCTTGTGAACATTAAGTCACAAAATTACTAAGAAATTTAAGATTTTTTTCATTCTTTAATTAAAAGAGGGGAAAAACCAACCAACCAAACGAATCTTAAAAAGATTTGAGACAAAATTCTTCCCACTTTTCTATTTGGAACATATGAGGACCTTCCCAACTTTCTTCAAAAACCCACTAGAATTGGTTCAATTTCACAAGTCATCACATTTCGATGAAACAGCATTCAGCTGAAGCTGTTTCAACCAGGTCTATATTTAACTCATGGGGCTCTATTCATCACTTAATGGAGGTGCAATTAAGCTGTACATTACCAGATGACAGCTCAGGACACAGTTATCACAAGTATGCTCTACCCAGGGGGAATAGAGCCTATTCAATACTGCATCTTGTGAACACAGAAGAAAATACACATTAAACATACAAAAAAACTAA